AATAATCCAGACTGCCAGACCTGGAACGGCACAGCGTAGCAACACGCTGCAGGGTGGCCTGGCACCGTGCAACGGCTCACGAGCCCTGGGATTGCTGCGATAGCATGGAGGCAGGATTAGAGAGGCAGGGGAGAACCCACACCAACCCAGCAAGAGATGTCCTGCTACACGCCCGTGAGATGCATGTGAGCACAGAAAGGCTGCAGGCTTTTGCTGCGTGGCTGGCCCGGGCACACTGCAGAGTGTCACAGCCAGCGACCTCACCTGAAAGCGTAGGAGAAGGCTATGAGGGTCAGCGTGACCACGTGGGGCAGGATTAGAGAGGCAGGGGAGAACCCACACCAACCCAGCAAGAGATGTCCTGCTACACGCCCGTGAGATGCATGTGAGCACAGAAAGGCTGCAGGCTTTTGCTGCGTGGCTGGCCCGGGCACACTGCAGAGTGTCACAGCCAGCGACCTCACCTGAAAGCGTAGGAGAAGGCTATGAGGGTCAGCGTGACCACGTGGTGGAGAAGCATGACAACGGAGTCCTTGCGCCACGTGTCCATGTAGGCGGTGGCATAGATGGAGTGCCCGTAGAAGCTGCACTGCAACAGGTAGGCGATGGCGATGTCTGTGGGCACGTCCATGCCCTTCTTCCAGTCTGGGGTGGGACAAAGACAGCCGGGTGAACCCAGAGCCGGGAGCACAGAGCCTCCGTCAGCAGCAGGGAGACAGGAGTGCAAAGAGCGGGGAGCAAGCAGCAGCCAGAGCTGCCCCAAGCAGCCCCAGCACTTCGCTGTGCTCAGGTGCTCCCATTCAGAACCTCACAGATGCAAAGGAGGCAAAGGCTGGAAGAGAACCCAGGTATCCTGGCTCCCAAACTCTGCCTCTCCTAGGTCTAAGGGAGAAACCTTGATTTACTTCTCTCCTGCTTTAACTACTCAGTCCCACTCCCCTCCGTAGCTGACACATCCCAGCCCTGCTCTCTGCAATAGCCACTAGGTGACTCTCTCTGTAACGAAATGAACGGGGACCGCCTGTTGTGCCCTTTCTGTACCCACAGCATCATAGACAAGGCAACTCAGGGGTTCAAGCCTTCTCTTTCGCTCACCCCAACTCCCGTTCCCTTGTTCAACCCAGACGTCCTGTGAACCTGGACATCCTAATCCATACCCACTTCTCCCTGGTTCTTACTGTACCGTAAAAGACAGATGGTGGGTCATAGAAGAAGGGGTAGTCGGTGAAGAAGAGCAGGTAGATGCCATACGACCAGGATAACGTGTAGAAAAGCAGCTTCCAGGCGCTCTCGGGCATCTTGGCAGCATCTTTCGGATGCAAGTTGCACCACTCCCCAAAGGGCTGCAAGGAGAGGGGAGAAGTATCGTCACGCAGGGCAAAGAGACAGGCCCTGGGGAGCCCAGGGCAGAGTTCACCAAACCTCCAAGAGACTCGAGCTCTGCATGCTGCGTGCGGTACCAGACAGGGCAAAAGCAGGGTCACAAACCCCATTTTTCTGGCCTTCTTTACAACACGAGGTCAAAGAGGCTCTAGAGAGAGCCTGAAGCGGGGAAAAACGCGAGGCTAGAGATGCTTCCACGCAGCCTTGGCCGCTCTGGAAAGCTGCGAAAGCAGAGCCTCGCAGAGAAGGCAGAAGCCTGGGGCACGTGTCCCACAGTCTGGGCACCACTCCATCGCCCTCGCTCCAGGAGCGGGGCCGACCACAGCCGGCTTTTGCAGAACAGAGTCAATAACTAATACAATAAAAATCAACTCCTATCTGCACAAGGAAACCCAGAAGAGGAAGCTGTAACAATACTCTCCTGTGCATACGGCCCTCGCAGCACTGCCAACTCCCAGAAAAGAGCCTTTCAACCGAGGAAGCAAAGGCTTTGCAGAGTCCTAAACACGCAGCCGCTGCTGCTCCCCACCCAGCGTGGCACAAGACTCCCCTGCGTGTGCAACGAGCGCCGGAGGGGGCCAGCTTGGCAGGTAACGAGTCAGTAAAGGCTGGGGCACTGGGTCCTCTTGCTCTCTCACACCTACCCGTGCTCACCCATGTTCCCAGCAGCTTCTCTAGCCGACCAGCGCTGAAACATTGCTGGTTTTTTCCCCCCTGTGGTTTGCAGCACCCCTCCCACCGGTCGGGACTCAGAAATAGGAGACAAAGCCTCCCCAAATATGGCCAAAGCGAGGGAAGGGAGGACGAGCAGTTCTGCGAATTGCTCGCGCTAATCAGAACAAAACTTTCTCATCCCGAGTTCCCCACGCTCCCGAGGACGATGACTACCACCCAGCCCTCCCGACAGCCACGCTCTGCAACGGCGAGAGAGCTGGGCCACCGAGGCCAGGGACAGCTTGGGAACCACAGCAAAAGCAAAGCCCCAGCGTTAAACGGCCCCAGCTCCCCAGGAGTAAAATGGAGCAGCTGACGCTACCCTTTGTCTTAGACCCTGTGCCGGAGAGCGAGCGATGCTGCAGGCCGAGCGTGCCCTTAGCTCAGCCAGGGCTCCGGGCACAGACGTTTTCCCTCCGTGGCAGCTGAGCAACACCAGGCACCATTTCTGCTTCTCGTCACGAGAGTGACGGCGCCATATCAGCCTGGCCAACCTCCGCAGCCCCTGGCCGCGGCTGCAGGGGAGCAGTCAACGCGGGGGAGAGTTGCTCAAGGTCCCGAGGGAATCGTCACTGCCTGAAACACAGATAATGCCCAAAGGCCCCCCCCCCCCCAAGCTGAGAGCCTCCCAGGGAAAGACCAGATAAGCTCGAGATGAAAACAAAATGCCTGCAGAGTAACCGTACCCTGCCCCAGGTCAGCACTTTCTGCAGCCGGCGCTCAGCTCCTCGATGCTCAAAGGCTATATTAAGGCCCCAGCTGTCCCCGGGCAGTGGCTGGTCTGGCTTTTAGCCCCTTTCCGTGTCAGGCTTTCAAAGGATTCCACTCCAAGCATTGTCCCAGGCTAAAAGTGCTTTGTTCTAAGCTCTGAATTTCCCAGCACTGGTCAGACCTGGAAGCACCATCCCCACAAAGCTCTGCCAAGTTGTCCGTATCCCCTCCAGCTAGAGGGGCCCAGCTCTGGCCTCCCCGGCGCATCTCGCATTCAGAGCATGGCCGTCCTCATTGAGACCAGGAACACGCTGCTGCCAAGGCTTCTTCCAACAGGAGCCACGGCAGGAAAAAGAGGAGGAAGCTTGAAGGGTGAATAAATAATGCAGAGACAGAAAGTCCTGAGCCCAGAAAGCATGAATTATTTGTGTCTCCATACAGTGGAGGATAGAAGCAGCTCAGACATGGGACAGCTCACCACGCTACCACGACAGTGAGCTGCAGAGCCCCCTGCCCTCCTCAGCTGGGGCTGAATTTAGGATGCTGAGCTCAGCCTCAAATCCCTGTTGCAGCTTCGCTGCCGATCGCCAGCCAAGTCATTTCGCTTCTCCTCTGCGCCTCAGTTCCCCACCTGCAAAGGGGGAAGGACACCACGTTTCTACCCCAGGCAGGCTGAGCTGATGACAAGGACCATCACCCATGGGGCAGGCACGTACCACTGAGACGACCTGCATTTTATGGACACTCGGACCCTCGGCAGAGATGGCAGCAGCGCAGCAAATTGCCGCCGTGAGCCCGCAGTCACCGCCTGATGAACAGTCCACTGCAGGCACGGCAGCAGCTCCCAGTCCGGAGCGAAAGCAGAACCCAGGGAAGGGCTACCCCACTCCAGCTTGCGGTGGCTAACGCTCAGAGAGGTTTTAGCCCTCGCTGCGTACATGGTTAGTGACAAGTCCTGGAGCGAGCCCTCCGCCTCCCCTAAATAGCCACAGGGCATCTCAGGCTGTACCCTGAGCACCACAGAAACAGGAGCTGGCTCTGGAGCAGACACAGGGAAGGATCGGGAGAGAACCAGCATCACACAGGGGGCTGGGGGGGCAAAATAAACACCCCCGGGAAGCCCCAACAAAAACCAGAACCCCCGCACAGGGAAGCGCAGGGA